TCTGTCTCTCTCTCTGTCCACTCTGCCTGTCAAAAAACAAAAACAAAAACAAAAAATTTTATTTAAAAAGAGAATGTTCCAACATGGGAAGTAATCCACACAGCAGACTCATAGAATGACAATTGCTTTAAGCAGCACTTTGACCTCAGAATCAGCCCTTAAGGCTTCCTGGTCTGACTGAAAAGCCCGTGAGAGCATTTCAGGATTGGGAGGCAAGACACTGTGGAAAAAAATGTTCTATACAAAGGATCTCTGTGAGATCCCAGCAGACAGAAGTGGCCATCAAAGAAGGGTGTACTTTTCTCTAAAGGGAGGAGAGAACTTCCACTTTGCTTATGGCCTTGTCTAAATACTGATGGAGTTTATGGATTCAAAAGATTTCCATAGCCTTGCAGCTCATGTCAAGAGCCTCAGGTAATCACTGACATCATACATAAGAGTGTTAATTGTTCAATTAACAACAGGAGTCACTGTGCACTTACTCTCCATGCAGGACTTCTGTCCTCAATGAGTTGTATTATGAAAGTTAACTGTAAAACTAGTCTCAAACAGTTTTTTTTTTTGGGGGGGGGGTGCATGTGTGTGTGTCTGTTGATATCTTTACTTAGTACAGAGTTGATTTGCTGTGTACAAAATTAATTGAAAGTGAATCTTGGGGGTGGCACAGTGGCACAGCAGGTTAAAGTCCCAGCCTGAAGTGCCAGCATCCCATATGGGTGCCAGTTCAAGTCTTGGCTGCTCCACTTCCGATCCAGCTCTCTGCTATGGCCTGGGAAAGCAGTAGAGGATGGCCCAAGTCCTTGGGTCCTTGCACCCGCGTGGGGGACCTGGAAGAAGCTCCTGGCTCCTTACTTCGGATAAGGCTCAGTTCTGGCCGCTGCAGCCAATTGGGGAGTGAACCAGAGGATGGAAGACCTCTCTCTCTTTCTCTCTCTACCTCTCTCTGTAACTCTTTCAAGTAAATAAAAATAAGTCTTTAAGGAAAAAAAAAAAAAGGAAAATGAATCTTAATGAAGAGTGGGACTGGGAAGGGGAGAGGGAGGAGGAGGAGGGGTGGGAGTGTGAGTGAGGGCGGATATGGTGGGAAGAATAACTACATTCCTAAAGTTGTGCTTGAGAAATTTGTATTCCTTAAAAAATAATTTTAAAAACAGTTAAAGAGGCCGGCGCTGCGGCTCACTAGGCTAATCCTCCGCCTTGCGGCGCCGGCACACCGGGTTCTAGTCCCGGTCGGAGCACCGGATTCTGTCCCGGTTTGCCCCTCTTCCAGGCCAGCTCTCTGCTGTGGCCCGGGAGTGCAGTGGAGGATGGCCCAAGTGCTTGGGCCCTGCACCCCATGGGAGACCAGGATAAGTACCTGGCTCCTGTCATGGGATCAGCGCGGTACGCCGGCTGCAGCGCACTGGCCGCAGCGGCCATTGCAGGGTGAACCAACAGCAAAGGAAGACCTTTCTCTCTGTCTCTCCTCTCACTGTCCACTCTGCCTGTCAAAAAATAAATAAATAAATAAAATAAAAAAACAGTTAAAGAAAAAAAATTTTATTTCCTTATTTGAAAGGCAGAGTTACTAAGAAAGAGTAAGAGGCAGATGGGGGTGGGGGGAGAGGGAGAGAGGGAGAAAGAGTATCTTCCATTTGCCGGTTCACTATCCAAATGGCTGCAATGGCTGGGGCTTGGCCAGGCTGAAATCAGGAGCCTAGAATTCCATCCAGGTCTCCCATGTGGGTGGCAGGGGCCAAGACATTTGGGCCATCTTCCAGTGCTTTCCCAGGCTCATTAGCAAGAAGCTGGATTGGAAATGGAACAGCCAGTACTGGAACTAGTACTTATATGGGATGTTGGCGTTGCAGGCGGCAGCTTAACCTGCTGTGCCACAACCCAGGCCCTGGCTTCAACTCTTTTTTTATAATAACTCTTATCTAAGAGCTTCAAATGGTGTTTTTTCCCTTTTATTTTGGTCTCTGTATTTCAGGTTAGAAAGTGTTATGGTCTGTATAATAGTTTGGGTGTCCCCTGAAGTGTCCCCTTGTGTCAAGAGCTTGAACCCCAGAGTCTCATGTTAATGGACTGTGGAGAACTTAACCCAATTATGGTATTTGAGAGAGGGGCCTTGGTGAGTTAGGAGATCACATTAGTTGTGGGCGTAGAGCCCCAGAGCTAAATCCTGGTGGCTTTACAAGGATACCACGAAGGGAGGGTGAAGACAGGCAAGCTTCCCGTCCCTCTCTGCTTCCTGGTTTGCCACGTGACCCTCCCTCGGCACACATCCTGCCATCCATCATCCTCAGCAGACACGGACCAATGCAGCCACCCAGTCTTGGCCTGTGAACCTCCCCACGTGTGAGCCACAGAAATCTTCCTATTCCTAAGAGCCTTCTCTCACATGTTTTAGTTAAAGCAACAAAAAGCTGACTAATATAGAAAGTTTCTTCAAATACCTAGAAATTCTTTGGTAACTGTTCATATGTAAGAGTGAAGCGCTAAGAAGTTCCATGCACACAGTGGGGACTTACCAAATGTGAGTTTCACTTTGAGGCGATCTGACCGATTAACTGCTTTCTTGGAGAGCCCCTGGTGTTAATATCCTTTGGTCTTTGACTTTTCAAATTCTCCACAGAAGAGACATCCAGTGGCTGACAGAGTTCTATAAACTACCACTCAGTAGATGCACTTCCACTTAACCTCTGCGGTCCTTACAGAAACGCTTGCCCTCAACTTCGCCCAGGTGTCCTCCAAGCTACAACCCTGTTTCCATCTTCAACAGAGGACTGTCCGGCATCCACAGCGCTAGGAGAGAGCAGATGCATCAGGGAGCGCTGGCAGTCCAGCTGCCTTAAATCATCTTCCTAATTTTACAGCCATTTTCTCCCCAGCTGTCCGTGATGCTGTAATTCTAGGGGAAATTGGCTTGCTTCTACACTTTCTCCGAGGCTGGCTTAGCTAGCACTTCACTGCTAAATCACTGACCAGCTGGCCCGTTTTCCAGCTTCTACCTAAACTTTACCTATTAACTCTTCTCCCTTTGACTCTCTTTAGGAAAAAAAAAAAAAAAGAGAGAGAGAGAGAGATATCTCATTTTTATTTATTTGAAAGGCAGTTACAGAGAAATAGGAAAAGAGATATTCTATCCACTGGTTCACTACCCAAATGGCCACAATGGATGGGAGGGTCAGGCTGAAGGCAGGAGCTTCATCCGGGTCTCCCATGTGGGTGCAGGGGCCCAAGTACTGGGGCCATCTTCTACTGCTCTCCCAGGTGGTTAGCAGGGAGCTGGATAGGAAGTGGAGCAGCCGGGACTGGAACTGGTGCTCATACGGGATGCCGGTGTTGGAGGCAGCAGCATCACCCGCTGTACCACAACACGGCCCCACTTGGACCTCTTTTTAAAATACCATGGGGTGGATATTTCGTGCAGCAGTTAAGACAAACACTTAGGATGCCTGCGTCCCACAGGGGATTGCCTGGGCTCAAATTCTGGCTCTGCATCCAGTTCCAGCTTCCTGCTAATGCAATCGATGATGCATCCAATATATGGGTCCCTGCCACTGACATGAGAGACTCAGATTGAGTGCCAGGCTCCTGACTTCATCCCGGCCCAGCCCTAACTGTTGTGGGCATTTGGGGGAGTGAAGCAATGGATGGAAATTCTCTTTCAAATAAAATGAAAATAAATAAAAAGAAACCCTATTGTGGGACTGGTACTGTGGCGCAGTAGGTTAAAGCCCCAGCCTGCAGCACTGGCATCCCATATGGGCGCTGATTCTAGTCCCAGCTGCTCCTCTTCCGATCCAGCTCTCTGCTATGGCCTGGGAAAGCAGTAGAAGATGGCCTAAGTCCTTGGGCCCCTGCACCTGCGTGGGAGACCCGGAAGAAGCTCCTGGCTCCTGGCTTTGGATCAGCACAGCTCTGGCTCTGGCCATTGCGGTCATCTGGGGAGTCAACCAGCAGAACAGAAGATCTCTCTCTCTCTCTCTGGCTCTACCTCTCTCTATAACTCTTTCAAATAAATAAAATAATTCTTTAAAAAAAGAAAAGAAACTGTCTTAAAAACAGACACCCTATTGTTATTTTATCAGGATTTAGTGAAGGACAAAGTTAAATGCTAGAACTGTCAAGCTTAACTTATCTCCATTCATCTGCATGCCTCCCGCTTTGCATCCGCCCTCTCATCACTCTGCAGTCGGCTGCTCCGTTCAGCAGCCCTTTCTCCAAGAACCCCGAGTCCGTGCCCCGTGCGGTGCACACCGGCCGTACCTCTAACCGTGCACCCACCCCGCGACCACGTGAGCGGCTATCTCAACCATCGCCCTATCCCCAGGCCCACGCGAGGTGGCTAACCAAGAAGGGAAAGGGGGAAAGACAGGGAGGAGTCGGCATCCCGGAGTGTGTCAGCAGCCTCTATTCAGGTCAGGTGGG